TGGTAAATCTCCCTCTGATACACAAGTGCGGCGACTGCCTGTGGTGGTGAAGACCTGGAGCAGACTCTGGCTTGACTGACGTCGGCACTGCTGGGAGTCACAATGGGTAAGCCAGCAAAACTCCGAACAATGGAAATTATGCTGGAACCCTCACAAAAAGTGAAAACCGGCCATCCAAGTATCCAAGTAAGTAGTAGTAGTAGTAATCAAGAGGCGGCGGCGACACCACCACATCTCGTTTCCCTAAAATGTTTTTTAGACAGCAGGAGCCTAACGATGCAGTTGACAGAAAATTCCGCGTGTTATCGGACGTCGTTCTCAAGACCCTTGATCACTACCGCGATAGAAAGTTTATCTCTAACCTTACAACCGCCAGAAATGTGGCATGCGAGAAATTGGAGGATAAATAAACTCGAAAACAATAAGATTGTCTGTTAGTGATAAGGGGGGAGAGTTCGCACTTATTCCTCGCCAGCTGGACGTTGGGATAACAGCGGAACATCTTAGTGATACTACATTCTATCGCACATCCTCAGGAAAGGAATAGAAAAGTCAATTTCGAAAGCTAAACAATCAATGGGTCAATGTGGCAAAAGCTGCAGGTTTAAAATCACCGGTTATTTCGCACTTTAAAAGCGATAAACTAACATGTCCCGTCCTATACCTACTTATTAAAACAGATAAGTTGATTTCACCTGGTGATCTTGCGTCAACCAATCCGTCATCACTTAAGGTTAGACCGATCATCAGCTGTGTAGCCGGGCTAACGGATAGAATAACCTGGATTTTAAGCCTGATACTTACCCAGTTGCTTAACCACATTCCAGCTCACCTCACAAACACCCAAATGTTCCTAGAACGTCTACGTAACGCGTCTCCTAATAACGCGTATGTGATGGAGCCTTTCGACGTTACCGCACTGTACACCAACGTATCGAATGACTCCGCAATGCAAGCCACCTTAGAACTTCTTGTTGAACATGAAGGAAGAATAAATATGCATGGCTTGTCCATCCAGCAGCTAATGGCTCTCTTAAAGGAATGTCTAAACTGTTTAACGTTTTGTTTTCTGCCTTCTATAATTTTCATGGCAGGTTACTAAGCGAAATACAACCACAACGTTGCTGAGATATTTGCAACACTCTGGACCGCAGGTGTCTATGGTGGGGAACGAACGCGCTATTATCCTTTCCGGGGAGTAACGCGTTCACCACCGCACCATGCGGGTCCTTTGTTTCGCACGTCTCTCAGCTATTTCTATCGATCTTTTTGCCACAGCAATCATCCGTCAGCGGGGTTAAACATTGTGATTTCAACTACAGCCATAGCTTAACTGGGTTCTATGTCTAAACTGTTCGATTTTCAGATAGTCTGAGAAATATTTCGCCCAAATAAGGGGTTTGGCAATGGGACAGCGACTGGCACCAAGCCTTGCCATTGTGCTTATGTCTAAGATACGAACGTCTGTTCTCGTTCCCAGACCACTACTCTACTGCAGTTATGTAGATGACTGTTTTGTCGTCTTCTCTACGCAGGAGAAGATGGACAAATGCTTCGAATTATTGAACCTGGCAGTCTGAGTACATTAAGTTCACCCGGGAGAAACCGAAAAAAAACTGGCTTCCGTTTTTGAACGTTCAAATAAACCTATCAAGTAGCTGTTACTTGACAAAGTGGTACCGAAAGCCAAGTAACAAGAACAACCTTGTTCCTTTCCTTTCTTCCCACCCTTCACACACAAAGAGGGCGTTTGTGAGAAACATGTTTCGAACAGCCACTTCTGTGTGCACTACCAAGGAACTAAAGGAAGAATCGCGCGACTTGGCCCGGCAAATAGCCATCTCCAATGGCTATGATGTAGTAATCCCACGAGATAAGTTTAGAAGGAGAACGACGGCCCCACGTGAAACACTTGGCCAAAAGAAAGTCCCGTTTATGTTGCCTTTTACAAGCGATGAAGTAAGCGTAGCCATAAATCGATGCTTAAGAAGGGGCAGGTCTAGAAGAATCGGTAGCGATAGTTGAAATACCACCGGCTACTCAACGTTGTCAATTAGTTCGCAACCGCCTGACAATTTTCCCTTACGGCAGGAACGGTGATTGCACGAGTTCAGGTACGATATACCTGATCTCTTGTAACAATTGCGGAGATGAATATATTGGCGAAACGGGCAGACCTTTGTGTATTCGTATAAAAGAACACCTAGATGGCAAATGAAAATTAAGACCAAGCACCCCACTAGGCACGCGTAGGATACAAAAGCATAGCGGAGACGATTTTGAAGTAAAAGTCAATATCCTTGAACAGGAGTCCAAAACACCAGCGCGAAAACTCCTTGAGACTTTTTGGATAAATGCCAAAAACCCTACAATGGATAGCAGGGATGAATGCCCGGAGGTCATACGCGACCTTATCCCGTATGTTAGCATCGATTTTTGATGTGGGATGGTGCAGTCGTCAGCCACTTGCGACTATAATCAGCTGTTCTAAACTTCCTCATTGGAAGTCACGAAAAAGCAGTGGGTTTTTGCGAGAAGTTGTTGATCATGTAATTACCAAAGAGTTTTTCGTTTTTTTGTAAGTGTTATTGAAGCGTTTGTCCTAGTAGACTGTATATCAGTATACCCTTCCAGGCTCTGAAGAAGGCGATACTGCCGAAACGTCAGCTAGCGTTGTATTGTATCGTGTTTTTCTATGGAAGTAAATGTATGCTGTTTAAAAACCTCGCGATTGCTGAACAAGAAAACGACGCATTCATATTTCAATGCCGAGGTTAAGAGAAAGTCGATCCTGGGATCTTAAGAGAATTGAAAGAAGTTATTGCGTATCCAGTTTACGTGTTTGTCGCAAATATCTGCAATGTCGTTTGATTATCAGAAACATTTTCGGTGACATTTGGAGCATAGTCGTTCCACTTTCAGGCCAGGAATTAATTCACTGTGTCCTTTGACACCCAGTCGTCGAACTTCTGGGTCTTCGACACCACTTACTCCACAAAGCTTTACAATGGTTACCTTGGCATAGAGAGATTCGACAACAGATACAAATTCGACGCCACGGGATCGTCAACGTTGTCGAGGGAGAACAGCGCAATCATGGTTCTATATGGTTCTGGATGGTATGATGGATCGCCCGTAAAAGATGCCATCTCTTTCTCCGGTAGCGGTTTCGCACTACTGAATATCACCTAATTGAGCGCATAATCGCTAGTTACCAGATCAAATTTGGTTAGCACTCTAGAATAGTATCACGTTATTAGGCATAATTTTTCATGACGTGATATCGTTATATTAACGACTTACGTAAATCTAACCGTGCAACGAAGAACAATGGCATGTTTCCTTGCCGATAATTTAATCACCGCAACAGCACATTTCGCGACAATGCATCACTAGAGAATCTGGAATTTTACCCTTTCTTACTGTTCTGGAAAGATATGGTGGAATGTCGTTGCTAAATAACTGTTGCTGACAGGATGCAATATATTTGCCAATCTTCCTATTTTGTATATTACCATTTAAGTGCAAGTGAATCCTCTAATTTAGAATGCACGTTCTGAAAAGCGTAGTAAAGTTATCTTCACAATATGCTTTTACATATGCAGTTCAGCTGTGACAATCCAACAGCACGTGTTCTTCAGTGCAGAAAATATAGCCCAGATTTTTGTCTACATACGTTTTGACGGCATCATTGGCCTTGCTTGGCTGGCACTTTTCATGAGCAATGTGAATCTGGGATTCTCATCTGAATGACCATTTATGGCAAAAAAGTAAGTGCATGATGAGTCAGAAGTGAGACGCTTAGTGTTTTCGGCTAGCACACCAATGCAAAACCTTCTATCAAGCCTCGATGCTCGCATCTTTACCGCCTGGTTGAACACAGCTGTAAATCATGCTATAAAAAATGAGCTCTTCATTAATCTCTTCAAAATGTGGTAACCTCCTTCGGACACTAGTTTCAATGAAAAGCAGTCGTTCTAAGCCAAAAACAAAATGGTTAGTGCTATTTTCTTGCAGGAAATCGTCGTATTGCTGAGGTGGTATCTGCTATGAATGAACAGCTTCGCACTATTATTCTACTAGCGACATTTTTCCAAGCTTCGAAACCATCAAACACACTTGTAATCGTGTCTGTTTTTCAAAAACTACTGAACATTCTTTTGCAATTATACCATTTTATAAATTGAAGAACCTGACTTATAAAAGGTATTTTGACCATCACTCTGAAGAGTATATGTCAATTAAATTGCCAAAAAAGGTAGTGCAAAAAATGCTTCGGAAGTTTGTAGCAAGCTGGAAGTCGCCCACTTCAAAGCGGGTTCTGGACACCATCGTGTCCTGCTGCACGAAATCTCCCCAGTTAGAATTAACAACCTCGTCCAATCAATTTGATTTTGGAGCTAACATTTACGAAATGAAGCAAAAAGTAATGGAGGATTCATTGTGAAATATAACTTCAACGACGTTGAGATATTTGCAAAACTCCGAACCGCAGGCGTATGCGGTGGGGAACGAACACGCGCTGTTGTCTTTATCGGGGAGCAGCGCACTTCACCACCACACCATCCGGGTCCTTCGTTTTGCATGTCTCTCAGGCTAGTTCTATCAATCTTTTGCCATCAGCAATCACCCGTCAACGGGATTGACCTGGGGGGCCTACCCCCCGGTAAGGACAACAGCGCGTGTTCGTTCTCCATCGCATACACCTGCGGTCCAGAGTTTTGCAAATATCTCAGCATCGTTGAAGTTATATTTCACAATGAATACTCTGCCGTTAAAAAGAGTAGGCAGTAAATAATAATTCCCAGGATCGACTTTCTCTTAACCTCGGCATTGGAATATGAATGTGTCGTTTTCTTGTTCAGCAATCGCAAGGTTTTTAAACAGCATACATTTACTTCCATAAAAACACAATACAATACAACACTAGCTGACGTTTCGGCAGTATCGCCTTTTTCAAAGCCGCTTTCTTCTTAAAAGTTAAAAATCTTGGGGTAGAAATTATTTTGCGTTTTTGGACCAGCAATTGGCGACTAATAATCGAAAAATCCAGTGGTGCGATCACATGCGACCAGATGGTCATACGCGACCTGATCCCGTACGTTCGCATCGATTTTTGATGTGGGATGGTGCAGTCGTCAACCACATGCGACTATAATCAGCTGTTCTAAACTTCCTCATTGGAAGTCACGAAAAAGGGGCTCTGAAGAAGGCGATACTGCCGAAACGTCAGCTAGCGTTGTATTGTATTGTGTTTTTATGCGAGTAAATAATAAGTTAAAATTGTAATGGAGGATGTTTGAAGGGTGTTTAGCAAGGATGTTTTTATTAAAAGTAACTGGATTCACATGAGTTGAAGCTTTTTCAACTTGGAAAGTGAAATTGTTTTTGGCCACATGGAGTCGCAAATAATTCTTTTCATCGCAAATCTTTTTAAGCAGTTAAACAATAACAAGTCTGACTTAGTTGGGAATTAAGCGGATTCATTTTAACTTAGAATTTTTTGTTTGAGGAAACGCTTTAAGGAGAAGATAAGGAGAGAGGCAATAACGGTCTTATCACCTTTGGAGCCATCGACACTTCCAACTGCAGTTCAGAAATACACTACGTGCCATTGAGCGCAGAAAAGTACTGGGAGTTCATTATTGAAGACTTTTCTGTCGGCAATTTTTCGAAGAGAAGAGCGGAGGTGCGTGGGTAATGCACTCGTTTCGAATCCTTATATTCACTTCCACGAAGCACATAAAACGCTATAAGCTGTACGACATTTAAAGCTGAATCTTGCCTTTTTAAAGAGAGTTTCTTTTTGCAGGCCATCTCCGACATCAGTACTTCATGGACCAAAGCACCATTTACTTTTTGTTAACGCAGTGGTTAGTGATACATGGACTGTATAAAACACTGAGTACCAATTCTACACTGTTGACTGCTCGGTGATGGCGACACAACCCCATTTGGAGTTTATCATTAATGGCGTCAAGTACAACGTACCATCCAAACAGTACCTGATTAACATTAAAACTGGAGATGGAAAGGTGAGTGAATAGATTGCAAAGCAAAAAATTTGTGCAGGAGTGTTGTGCGGTTAAAGAAAGCGTGTCTTGTGAAAAAATTCATAAACTAAAATTAAAATTTTTTTGAAAATGTCAGTGCTCCAGTTCATTTCCAACCATGAATTAAGGGTTTGATCTTAAAACAACATTCGTGCTATGACGAGCCGCATGGTTTATTGCATCGGTTCTTATACTGCATTGCGGACGGTCGAATCAAATTTTAGCCACCGGTTTTTGAACATTAGAAGTAATCGCTTTCAGTGTGCTCTCGCGTTCTTCGAGGTTGACTACGGAACTACTGGATTCGACTGGATCCTCGGTGCCAATTGGATCCACACCTACTGTAATATCTACGACTTCGGTCAGAAGCGTATCGGTTTCGTCAAGGCCAAGCAGCAGGAATAAAAACTTTATGTAACAGCACACCTGCTGCTAAATACACTATGCTTGCTGATTACTAGTCAGAGCGAGCGATTACATATATTTCACGCATTTGAGTAACACAGCAGCGCATCATATTGGCAGTCTTTAGCAACTTGTGTACTAAGAAATACCAGTCGAAGAAAAAAGTTGAAAAAGACTGGTCATCTCTTTTCTTAATGACGCAATAAATAGGTTGAATGTGAAGCATCGTTTTGTTGCGCAAGTCCATTGAGGTCAAGTGAATAATTACATAACAAATTGAACCATCATTTTCGTCATTCTTTTAACTCCTTCCGTTCCTAGATGTTTACTCTAGTTACTGTCATCCCCACATGCCTCCTAAAGGTTCACCGCCTCACCGTGGTCGGAAGCTGTTCTTTTGCGCTGTGCTGTAATGTACAGCAATAGGTTCATCTCTCAGTAGTGTCTCGCATGGTCGGAAGTGTTTCGACGTATCTGTCCAAAATGCTGACTGAAAGTAAACGAATATCAGGAATCAATTTTGCCTTGATATTACGTTAGTCGCAAGGTGGCAAGTCTTACCCTCGTCCACAAGGGCCCGCGACTGCCTAGAGTGGTGAACACCAGAGGAATTTGCTGCCTTTGCTAGGATGACTTCGAGACTCTGGGAAATCACAGTGGCCCAACGAGAAAAATTCGAGCCAAAGCACTAACAAATAAGTACTGTGCTCTACGGCGTGGGGTGGTGGGACAACCGTTGACAGGCGATCAAATCTCGTGTTCAAAAGGACGTCACTAGAATGGACAAATCGAACATGCACACGAGGCTGTGGAGACCGCTTCTTGATGTGCACCTGTAACGCTAGAATAGTCTCCCCAAACGCCTTTCTATTCCTTAGACCCCTGATCGCAAAATATTCTATGAGATCGCTCTACAACAGGCGAAAAGGAGGAAGGCCGACATACACCAACTGGATGGTGGAGCTCTTGTAATTTGTGGAGGAAAATTTCCGTTACGAAATGTTGGAGGAGTTGGCTTTGTCGTCTACTTATCTATTTCTCATTTAGTAACGTCAAACGAGATTCTGTCACCAGTCGTGTTTAAATTGTTAGGCTTACATGAAGCTATTATTAGTTTTATTCGACTAACACCTCGACGCTCCTCTGAGTCGATAATCCGACTGGATATTCACAGTTGTTCGTTGTCTCCATATAGTGTCTTCGTTGATCTTCTTCATTGAGTCGGATCTTCTTCAGTGGAACACCGTTCACATGAGGCAATCTCACCCGGCAACGCTCTTTTATGAGGGACGATTGCTGTTGCTATGATTTTTCGCGGTATCATTATCAGCAGACGCAGTGCGCAATATTGTGTCAAAACCGGCATCTTTTATCCTCGTACAGCTAACAAGTCGTGTTTAAATTACCACGCTCTCGCTTTGTCAGAGCTTAATTGTACTATACCATGAGACATTTCATTATTCACCCGATATTTCCTAATTTCAGAAAAATCTAATTCAACAGTAAAATCGAAGATCGACCTAATAAGAATAACCCACCGTTTGCCTTATTCGATAGAGTAGGGTAAATTTCTCTTCCAGACAGAGCTTAAGTGGAAGTCGGTTTTTCGAATTATAACGAGATGCACTGACAAGATATTGCCGAGTTATAAAGGAATCGTTACCACTAATGCGAATAGTTTTAGTTCGAGAAACCACCTAAATTTTTCTCTTTCATTTAAACATCAAGTTATTCCTAAATTTATTGAATATAGAAAATTTCACGGTATATTCGGCTTTCCGGAGTAATGCCGTCAAATAGTGAACGCCCAAAAACGATTGCGGCATATTTCCGTACGCAAAACGAAGTGCTTGTCCACGTAAGAAAATGTGTAACTCACTGTTTTCTTTAAAACCAAAACAAGATTGTTACGTTATTCTTTATTTATGGAAACGCTGATTTTTTTTTTGACGAATTCGCCTTTTTCAGACCCTTAAAAGGTCAAGTTGACTGTAATCTACTTTTCTTAAAACACCTCCATACTGAACAGAGAATACACTAAGCCAAGATTACAAACACATTAAAAGCAAAACGCCTTCTTCGCACACTCAACGCTTTCTACAAGTCTTCCATTAAGTATTCCAAGTGGGGACAGAGGCAAAAACCTCACTTGGAAGTCTTGAAATACTGTGTGAGACCAGATGCGGTTACGAGGCATTTTTCCCTGAGATTTATTTTCAGATTCTTAGAATTTTTCAAACTTGCATCGAGGGTTTCGCGCGTTGAAGTCTTCCATTCCTATGCGCGAATGGCATCTTCTACTTCAAAGTCTTTTCTGTTATGTCTCCTATACCCGCCAAGCGGAGTATTTGGTTTAACTTTGAGTTTACCGGCTAGATATTCTTTAATAGGGATGGAGAGTTGCTTACCCGTTTCGCTAATGTATTTGCTCTCGCATGGTTTACAAGAGATCGGATAAAATGCACCCGAATTCATTCAATAACCGCCTCTACCACTGCGACATGTTATACAATTTTGTGTTGCGCATAGACGGTCACATAGACGGTTGTGAACTAGCTGGTACACAATGGTAGGTCAATTACTGTTACCGAATTCTTTAGGTTGGCCCTTCTTAAGCAACATGTTATAGCTGCACCTAGTTCGTTTGAGATGAACAGCAGGATAAACGAGACTAGATTATCGCTACAGTTACAGTTTTGGAAAATTGCGTTTTCCTCTACAACTTTTCCGAGGAGCCACGGCTTCATAGCCACTGGAAATGACTATTTGACGCACAAATTTCTCGAATTCCTCCTACAACGCTCTTCTTGTGCACACGCCGGTTGCTGATCTAAACACGTTTTTTACAAGCTCCTTTTTCGTTTGATGGGTGAGAGGAAAGGCAGTGAACCAGTGTATTGATTGGCCTAGCGGATTATAGAGTAGGATAAAGTAGTTCTTGTTCGGCTTGTCCTCTATTCGCCAACTGTTGATTGAATGCTGGACTATGTTAGTTTGTCACGCAAGACTTTTATCCGTGTAGCCGTGTTTGCCGCAGATTTTCAAACATGGGTAATTAAACTTTTATAAATATGTACATATTATTGATCACAATGCAGCAGGTTTATGAGGATATGAGTAATAGCAATTACTGATTGTCTAAAAATATTGCTACGATTAGAAGAGAGTTAAGGTTGACCTGCTCACAGTACGAGGATGCCGTCTATCGTGGCGTACCCGATGGTTAAGATGGGATGTAAGTGTCGAGAACGGACGCGGACGTTGTGGCAAATACTTTACTATACGAGGGATTACATGCACTCACAAGGAATGTTGTCTATCGACTTATAAAGTATATTTGTTAGGTAGACAGAGAACTCTCTACTTGACAGAGAAATTGCCCATAACCAGTATGTTTTTACTTCTTTACTTTCGGCACCACTTCGTAATGTAGCCGTTTTCGGATAGGATAATTTGAAGGTCTAAAAATGGAAGCCAGTTTTCTCCCGATTTCTCTGGGGTAAACTCGATCTACTCTGAGTGCTCAAAACACTTGTCCTTTTTCTCTTGTATAGAGCAGGTGAGAAAGCAATCATTTATATAGTTACAACAGAGTAATGACCATAGATCGGTTACCAGAGCTTACACTTTAGTTATAAGTGCAATGGCAAGGCTTGGCGCCAATCGCTGTCCCATTGCGAACCCTCTCGTTTGCGCGCATTACTTCCTGGAAGCAGTTTGGGTACTCCTTTAAGAGTGTTATCAATCAACTGCTTTATCATGAAACCAGACATGTTTGTTGCTTCTTCGTGTTTTACAAGGATTTTGAGGGCAGGACAGCTTGCATAGCGGAGTCACTCGATATGTTTGTATAAAGGGCGGTAGCATTGAAGCGTTGAAGCATGCCATAACGGACGTCCTGATGGATGTAGGAATTCTTGCTATCCATAGGCTAGGCTAGAATGCGTTTCATCAACTAGATAAAAAATTAGTTTCTAAACCAAGCTACTCAATCTGTGCGCACGTATTAAAGACATGTGATAGTTCTAATCTTAAAGCTTGAAAAGCCGGTAGGCTCCACTTGGTCAGTAGATACTAACTTATAGGTTTTAATAAGTATAAGACTGCACATGCTGGCAGTTGAATTTCAAGTTGCCAAATAAATGGTGGCTCTGGGCTTACCGCGCTTACCACTTTGTCTCACTTCGTGTTAAATTTTCGGTACTGACTTCTGAACTCTTTCTCATATGACGGCGATTAAGGGAAGAATCTTCAAGATACTTTTTCGTTATATCAAAATTTAACTTAGGAGCAATTACTGCAAACTCTCCACTCTTTTAACTAAGTTATAGTCTAATAGCCTTCGGTCTTATTAGCTCTCAAACCTGTCGCATAGCACATTTTTGCGGTACTGCGACATAGGAACGAAACACTCTCTAGCGATTGTGGTGAGGATTTTTAGAATTTCGTCCAAGAATGTAAAATTGGTGTCTACTTCATCGCTGAAGTTTTGCTTTTCAGGAACGCTCTAAGACTTTTTTCCTTCGTTTTTAGCCAGGCACACTCCCCACCCACGTAGGATTTTACCCGGCCGGTCTCCACAAAATAACTTGAGAACTTACAAGGAACGAAAGCGTGATCGTTTAAAAGAAACTGCTTGTTATGCGAATTAAAATGTATGCATTATGCTTCATCTGCTAAATTTATGAAATTCCTTGGCTAAGTAGACTGCCTGTCAATTTGACCTTTCGAGGCTTTGAAGAAAGGGAGGCCTTCGAAACTTCAGACGTGGTGAATGAATAAATGCTGTAACAACAACTTCAACTTTGCAACTTATCAAGAAAAATAGTAGAGCTCTTGATCAATGTTGAAATTAAGAAAAAGTCGTTTCTAAGACTTTACATCAGTACACCGAGGCAGTTAGAAGGTCATAATTCAGTAAGTCGTGGAAGATTCACTATTAACAATAGCTTGAATACTAAAAACTCAAAAGAGTTTAAAGAAACTCATCCAATAAAGCTAGTATCTCAACATTTCCTCTCCTTATTTCTTACTTTCAAATCTGCAATAAATCGTAGAATACCAAACCTTTGCCCTTATTCAAGTACTCAAATGCTATGGAATAATCCATGAGGACAATAAATAATTTTTATTCGACTGACGTTTCGACGTCTTAATCTTCATCAGAGCCGGTGATCCGAGTCGATAGTCCACCGTTCTTCTTCGCCTCGATGTAACGTCATCGGCTTCGTATCCAGTTGTGTCTTCCTCAGCGGACAACCTCTCGAATAGGAGAAAGGAAATGTAATGTAATGTAATGTATGTATGTATGTATGTATGTATGTATGTATGTATGCATGTATGTATGTATGTATGTATTTATGTATGTATGTACGCATGTATGTATTATGTATGTGTGTATGTATGAGTGTATGAATGTATATTGCTACACACTACTTCAAATTAAATGACAGTATAGAAGTGCTCAAGCAGCGCGTGGGGCGCGGCGGTTGCAGGGCCCACTGCGACACACATGTGGAATCGATCCCCGCGCCCATGGCCTACCAAATCTTCCATCCCTCCGTGGTCGGCAAATTGGTACCAGAGTTGTCTAGGAGGATGCCAACACTGACTCGATACATCAGTAGGCCAGAGCGAATCATTGTAACATTATGAAGGCCAGATATGCATTCAATCACTTCCAACGATACTTAATGAAGTCGAATGCATGATTCATCCCCCAGGGATTGATCAACGCCGAGAGCTTTATCCTTTATCCTTTTTATAGGATATAAATTTTTACAGAAGTGTTCTTAGACGGTTGACCAATGCCAATAGCAGATCTCGCAAATGTCTTCGTGCATTACCAATCCTTCAAAGAATATTTCGTCATTGTAACAGTTTTGTCAAAACCTACGAGATTTTATTTCTGAGCGCTAAGGATCACTACAGTTTTTATTAAACAAAATTGACCTGATTCAAAGAAACAGTGATCCACGTTTGTTGAAAATGAATTTACTCAAAGACTTCGCTAAGTAAAATTTGGTTACCAGAATTTCCTATCTTTCCTCCTTTCTCCTTTCCACAACAAACGATGAGCGATCGTTCGTTGGTTAATATTGGGACCCCACTACTTCGGGGTGAGGAATTCTAAGCACGAGCGATGGCCTGCAGTGGAGACGTGGAGCGCACAAATATCGCACTGTTGTGTAGAGGAAATGCTCAAAGAACCACCGTTTAAGAAAAAGGCGAAATCATCAGGCAACAGCCCACCCTTAGTCAAATCCGAGATCTTTGTGGATGGTTAGTGCTAGAAAACGAGTCGATCAGAAGAGTATCTGGGATTGCCAATATATGTAGTCTCTGGTCATGTAAATAATTCAAACACAAGTAAAAACTGGAAAGTTTATACTTTAGCATAATTACGACTGATCCTTCATAATTTTGAAACCCACCATCACTTAACCTCGGTTCAGCAATAATCAACATGTGTTGCTAGCTGACAAAATACCGACCGGTGCAAGGTGGATAATCCATTCAAAAACAAATTATTATCAGCAGAGAATCATATCAACAAGAAACGTCCTGTATAAAAGAGCGCCGCGAGCGAGTATAGCTCATTCGAGATGCTCAACTGAGGAAGATACTGTAAGATGTGAGACGAAGCCGTCGCATCGAGAAGAGGAACAATTGTGGACTGTCGACAAGGCTCTGATGAAGACAAAGACGTCGAAAGGTTAGTCGAATAAACATCTCTCTTGTAAGCTCAACGAAATGAATACGTGTTGATTATCACAGTACCGAGGTTAAGTGACGCTCGGTTTCAAAGCTATTAAACTTTATGTTAATACAGGATGGCAGAAGTTGTACATTGATAGATAATGCTTACCCTTTTCTATCCGTTCTCCTCTACTGTCTATCATTCCTTAAGCAATAACGCAACAGAATTAATGCTACCGGTAGCAAATCTTATGACGTAGATATTAGTGGAAATAACACCAGAAAGTTCGGATACACTCAATCTTTATTTTTTTAATCTTTTGATTCAAAGCACACCATGAGTCTTAAATTTCCCTACGTAGGTGTCATAATAAGGATGCAAATAGGGTTCATTTGCTCTCCCATGAAGAAAATTTATGGAATTTGCAGAATCTGTTCACTGCTACATTGCAGTTGAATAGTTTGCCCGAATTGGATTGAAGAAGTCATAGAAACTTTAAGAGTGTTCCTATCAAACGACTGTTTTTTCTAGAGGTGTCATAATTTCCATGAAGAATGCCAGCTAAGGAGAGGCAGCAGGGAGAAAGGGAGCATTCTAGCGCTTAAGTAAAATTCTCTCACTTCGTCATCTGATTATTGAGTTGAGGTCATTGATATTGTGGCTTTAACCGAGGTTTCATATACAATCAAATGACTAAGCTGCAATGATAACGAAATTTTACTCTCCTTTTCCATAAGTATTTATCATAAAACTGGTAGATATCTGCGAAGAAGATGTGCCAAGGATTTCGTCGTATGCAAGAAATATTTGCAAATAGAGGTTCTAATTGTTTATTAGAAGACAAAGCACACTTGCTAACATAATGTTGATGAAAAAACAATAGTTTTATAATTCTGAATGCTTGGCCTTGGCGAAACCGATGCGGCTTTGACCGATGTCGTAGATGTTGCAGTAGGCGCGAATGAACGGGTCACCGAGGATCCAGGTAGGTCCGAAACCTCCAGATTCGAAATCGAAGAAAGCAACAGCGCACTAAAATCGAGAATCACCAAACTAAAGAAATAGAGACCGAAATATTTAAAATTAAACTTAAGATAAAGCTGTAGTAGTCCGTAACTACGGGGAACGCGTCGATCAGTGGACAAAATTTACTTTCGCTAATCTATGCAGTTCAACAGCCGATTGCGTAGCAAAATATGCTTTATCGTTGTTTACGATTATGTGAGTGTTACAATAAATTCAATACTTTAATTCTGATTCGAAAATGAACCAGAGGCCTAGAGCTGCTAAAAGACAGCTTAAAATTGGCTTCAAACACTTTTTATCTTCATTGCTTCGATGAGTTCACTCTTTCCTTATTCACACAGGCGCAAAATTCTGTGTTATTGACGGCGCACTTACCTGTCCGCCTCCAAGCTCAAGATCGAGTATGTACTCTTCGGATGTTATGTTGTATGTCACACCGTTGATGGTGAACTGCAAATCCGGTTGGTCCATCATTGTCGAGCAATCAACGGTGTAGATTCCATACTCCCAATTGTACTGTGCATCTGTCTGATCGACCACTGCGTCCATGATGTAGGATGGTCCCCCGATCCATGAAGTACCAGTGTCAGATATAACCTGAAAAAAATAGAAAATTTTCATAGAAATAAGTGCTTAGTTTTACATAATTTTGCCGTTTATGGTATATTATGCGTTCTATGGAAGTGAACACGAGGAATCAGAAAGAATTCATTGCCACCCACATCTTCCGTATTTATCTCTGAAAAACTCCCAACGGAGAAGCCGTCGATAGAAAACTGCCAGTATGTTTCTGATGTCAGAGGCACGTATGTGACGTTCAGATCACAGTTGGTCGTGTCAATGGCTCCGTAGGTGATCAGACCGCCACTGCCTCCCATGCTTACATTGAGCTTAAAACTATTCTTCAAAATACTCATATTTATCATAACAAATAATATGGCAAAAAGGGTAGCAATAATTATGGTTTAGTTTAACTCACTCCATCCATGCATAAAGATAAAAAATAAAGCCCTCGGTGTTGATCAATCCCTGCTACACATTCTAGTTCATTAACCAGAGTTGATTGAATGCATATCTAGCCTATAAAATGACTCCCGATGTGCCGAGCCAGCACTGTTCTTTGCCCAGACAAGTCTGGTAGCAATTTGCTTATCTCGGAGGGATGGAGGGCTTGGTGAGCCTGCGGCGTGAGAATCGACCCCATTTGTATTGCAGCTCGCCTCCGACTACTGGGCTACGCGCACCTCTAATTCTACATAAATCGCAATTATTACTGTTTCACAGACTTTTGAGAATATGAACTGAATAACTTGAAAAATTAATAAAAGTTAAGTGTGACTCATACGTGGAGCAAAATGGTTCGGCGGCTTTCCTTTTTAAATGAAAGTAAAAAGGTTTCCATTCACCTTGCAGTGAATTTTACTGCCCGAATAGAAGCCATTAGAATCTACAGATCTTTACCCGTTTGAAGAACGTTTAGCCATTACGGTCCGCGAAGATTTAAACACTCATTTAGCACTTGATTTGAACATGAGAACATTGAGTACTAGGTATGCATTCAATCACTTTTATGGTGCTACGAATGGAGTCGGATGCGTAACGCATCTCTATGGACTAATTGTTACTGAGTATGTTATGTATATTTAATCATACAAAGCCAAGGATCCTAGACGATGTTTCCAAGTCCTAAAGCACTTCATTTATCGCGAAACTATTGCCGATAATTTAGACGTTAGAGCGATTGTGAACGTGCTAGGTGACTTTGAAGTTCGCACAAAAAGTAGGTAGGACTACGTGTTCTTTGCATGAACTTCTAGATAGCGACCGCAAAAAAGCTAGAGGCGAAACGCGAAATAGAGACGAACAACAAGAATCACGGGCATTACCAGTACCACCACGTCCTCAACCGTTGTTTAGACAACAAAAACCCAATAATGAGGTTATCCTTATGTTTCGTATGTTTGTGAATGAAACCTTCACATTCTTTAATCACTATCGGACCAAAAGATATCTCTCCAACCTCGCAGAACTGTAAAAATATGGTATGCAGGAGGTACGAGGGCTGACAGGATTGAAAACATAAGACTATCCATTGGCGATATGGGAGGAGAGTAGGTAGCATTTTTCATCAGTTAAATGTTGCTATAACGAAGAAGCATCCTGATGCTGCTTTCCTTTATCGGCCATCATGCTAGAGCGAATTTAAAAGTCAGTACCGAAAATTAAAAGGCAGCTATATTAAAACCGTCACTTACCTGTCAAGTCGTAGATGATTTGCCAACATGTCCCTTCTTATCCTTATCAAAATTCATAAGTTAGCATCCAGTAAAATGAGATGCCACTGAGCACGCTATAACGCAAGCTACCTCGCAACCACCTGTATGACCGTCTATGTACAATGAAAAATTGCATGGCTTGCCCTAGCCGCAAAGCCGGTGATTGCACGAGTTCGGGTACTGTTTATTTGATCTCTTGTAAACAAGTTAAACCAAATGCTCCACTATGCGCGCACAGGACACAGAGATATAACGGGGAAACTTTTGACGTATAAGTTAACATCCTCACACAGGAACCGAAAACAATGGCGCGCAAAGCTCTTGAAGGATTTTGGATACATTTCAAAAATCCAAAAATGAACCGCAGGGAGGAACGCCTCATAATTGAGTGTGATATCGGACAGTGTCTGAGACTGTTAGATTAATGTGAGAGGTACATTGCCCTTCCGTGTGAACTCTGTGCGTTTGCTTTCCACGCCGTATATTCAGCGGAAGGCTCACAAAAAACGCTGAGTGTCCAATTTTAGTTTAGTATTTTCACTGTTTGGTTCTGGAGGTGTTTGGCTGGGTAGATTGCTGCCAACTTGACCTTCCCAGGCTCTGTGGAAGGCGAAAGCCTGCGAAACGTCAGCTTGTTCGTAAATAAAAAAATAAAAACACCTCGTCTTTAGTTCCCAAGATCGACTTTCCCTTAACCTCGGCATTGGAATATGAATGTGTCGTTTTCTTGTTCAGCAATCGCGAGGTTTTTAAACAGCATACATTTACTTCCATAGAAAAACACAATACAATACAACGCTAGCTGACGTTTCGGCAGTATCGCCTTCTTCAGAGCCTGGAAGGGTATACTGATATACAATCTACTAGGCCAAACGCTTCAATAACACTTACAAAAAAACGAAAGACTCTTTGGTAATTACACGATCAACGACTTCTCGAAAAACCCACCGCTTTTTCGTGACTTCCAATGAGGAAGTTTAGAACAGCTGATTATAGTCGCATGTGGTTGACGACTGCACCATCCCACATCAAAAATCGATGCGAACGTACGGGATCAGGTCGCGCTTTGAATTTTTGAATTATTGAACGAGCAGTCCGAGTACATAAAGTTCACCAGGGAGAAACCGAGAGAAAACTGGCTTCCGTTTTTGGACGTCCAAATAAACCTATCAAGTAACGGTTACCTGACAAAGTGGTATCGAAAGCCAAGTAACAAGAACATCCTTGTTCATTTCCTTTCTTCCCACTCTTCACACACAAAGAGGACGATTGTGAGAAACATGCTTCGAACAGCTATCTCTGTGTGCACTACCAGGGAACTAAAGGAAGAATCGCGCGACTTGGCTCGGCAAATAGCCATCTCCAATGGCTACGAAATAGTAACCCCACGAGATAAGTTTACAAGGAGAACGACGCCCCACGCGAAACACTTGGCCAAAACAAAATCCCGTTTATGTTGCCTTTTATAAGCGATGAAGTAAGCGCAGCTATAAAACGATGCTTAAGAAGGGCAGGTCTAGAGGAATCGGTAGCGATAGTTGAAATACCACCGGCTACTCTACGTCTCCAATTAGTTCGCAACCGCCTCTATGACCGTCTGTGTGAAACAACAAATTGCGTAATTTGCCCTTACGGCAGGGACGNCTCTGTGTGCACTACCAGGGAACTAAAGGAAGAATCGCGCGACTTGGCTCGGCAAATAGCCATCTCCAATGGCTACGAAATAGTAACCCCACGAGATAAGTTTACAAGGAGAACGACGCCCCACGCGAAACACTTGGCCAAAACAAAATCCCGTTTATGTTGCCTTTTATAAGCGATGAAGTAAGCGCAGCTATAAAACGATGCTTAAGAAGGGCAGGTCTAGAGGAATCGGTAGCGATAGTTGAAATACCACCGGCTACTCTACGTCTCCAATTAGTTCGCAACCGCCTCTATGACCGTCTGTGTGAAACAACAAATTGCGTAATTTGCCCTTACGGCAGGGACGGTGATTGCATGGCATGAGTTCAGGTACGATATACCTGATCTCTTGTAATAATTGCAGAGATGAATATCTTGGAGAAACGGGCAGACCTTTGTGTATCCGTATAAAAAAACACCTAGATGGCAAACGAAAACTAAGACCAAGCACCCCACTAGGCACGCATAGGATACAAAAGCATAGCGGAGACGATTTTGAAGTAAAAGTCAATATCCTTGCACAGGAGTCCAAAACACCAGCGCGAAAACTCCTAGAGGCTTTTTGGATCAATGCCAAAAACCCTACAATGAATAGCAGTGACGAATGCCCGGAGGTCATACCCGACCTGATCCCGTACGTTCGCATCGATTTTTGATGTGGGATGGTGTAACCATATGCGACTATAATCAGCTGTTCTAAACTTCCTCATTGGAAGTCACGAAGAAGCGGTGGGTTTTTCGAGAAGTTGTTGATCATGTAATTACCAAAGAGTTCTTCGTCTTTTTGTAAGTGTTATTGAACTGCTTGGCCTAGTAGATTGTACATCAGAATACCCTTCCAGGCTCTGAAGAAGGCGATACTGCCGAAATGTCAGCTAGCGTTGTATTGTATTGTGTTTTCATGGAAGTAAATGTATGCTGTTTAAAAACCTCGCGATTGCTGAACAAGAAAACGACCTCGTCTTTATTCAACAAGAGTATGAAGAATTGTTCTACCAATGCCGTTATTAATAGAAAGTCAGTCGTAGAAATTTGAACAAAAAGTTTTTGACCCGGATCGACTTATTAGGATTTTAGCGACAAAAATGGCTTCATTCATCATTTTGTTATTTAGGACAAACGTTGTGATCAAAAATTGAAATATATATGTCTGTGTGTGAAAGGTTTTTATTTAAGTTCAGCGCAATCTCAAAGCAAACCCACCTTCCTGTCTAACCAGACAGTGAACAGAGGGGCGTCAAGAGATGGAAGAAGGTTTTGCATTGGTGGAGTGACCTAGAACACTTAGTTTTGCTCAATGCTTACTCTTGCCTGCCATGAATGGCGCTGTTCTTCAAATGTATGGATTCACATTTCCCACAGAAATCGCTGGCCATGCGAGCCCAAAGATGCCGTCAAATGGCATATAGCCAAAAATATCGGCGATATCCTCAGCATCGAGGAATTCTTGCTGTTCGATTGTCAGATCTATAATGGTGTGCTGTTGTGTAATATGTAATAGTTATTGAACAGTAAATTATGACACACTCAGGTTTAATCAATCCTTTAAAGATGCGACATGCGTTCGGCTCCATTATGCGTCGCAGAGGTGAGTGAATGCATCTTTGACCCATATAATGACTTACAGGGATTATCAAGGCATAACGAATTTTATTATAAAATCTGCATTTGCAGACCTTGGCGTAATAAACGCCTTGGTTAGCCCTGAGCGCCCTCAAAGGTGGAACCTTCAGTCACGTTTGTATTCTAGGGGCGCTCTCCTCATCGACTCTGTCTTACTTATTTAGACATAGTAGAAAGGAATTCGGATACAGTAATGGGAGATGTATTAATCCCGAAGTGTGATGTCGAAAAAAGGACCGCGTTTGCATTTCAGGCTACCTCCAAGCACTACGTTATACATGCCCTTATCAGCTACCGCTTTCGAAAAATTCTCCCATAAAAGGTAAAAACTAACTAGCATGATCGGCTCAACAGCCTGTGGCTTAGAGAATGGTCGACTAAGAGGTCTCGTCAAAAATAAACACGATGTGAGAGATGCTTTTGCACTGACGCAGCATTTTGCAATGAAATCCAGCCACAAACATTTTTCGCAGTTTGCAATGCAAAGATTAAAAGCCATCTTTACTGGAACTTCTTTCATACAACTGCCTTCCCGAAGCCCTCTATATTACAACTTTCATTTCTCAACGAATAAAGACGTACATTTCCTCTCTCTTCTTGATATAATGAAGACAAGGAGTGAGTAAGCGATATTCTGTGAGATCATCATTCTGTTTTGTTAAGTGATACTATTACAGGCTACATATTGGATTTGAATTGTCATATAGCAACGATGTGTCACATCTTATGTCGTTTGAAGTGATTTTGATAATGAATGGTATGCTCACCGGCGAAAGAGACAGTATCCACTGCGAGTTGTCCATCGCACCATCCAGAACCATACTGAATAGTGATCGTGCCGTTCACCGTATAGAACGTTGACGATGCTGTTGCGTTAAACTTGCGTCTGGTATAAACGCTGCCGAGATAACCATCGCAAGCCTCTGTGTCGCAGCTGTCATCGATCAACCAGAGGTTCGACGAGCCGGTATCCAGCACGAGAGCAAAAGTCTGGCCTGTAATTAAACCATTTATTGAGCTTAACGAAAGCCCTCTCACTGCTAGTCGTCAGTGCCTAACGTTATGACGAATTCGGACACCAGTGAAGAAAAGGACTAACAACGAAGTCTGAAACTTTTGAATATCGTTGACGACAAGATTACCTCGAATCAGAAGTAAAGTGGCGAAGATTTAGTCGTGGAAGAGCACACCAACAGCTACTTACTTTAAGCATTTTCAATGTCTTTTCTAATAAAATGGGAAAGCGCGATAAAATGTAATGTCCGACAAATAATGATTTTTTGAAGACTGGGCTGTTTACAACATACATCACTTTAACCCCTTTCCCTCGAAGAGTAAAATATTCGTTCGAAAACTTTCGTCTTCTCTCTGTTTTCCAATCTTTCTCCATTTTCACTTCTCTTCTCTTCGATAAAAGTAGAAAAAGTCTTTCGACCCTTTTTTGCTATTTCGATAAAGTTTATAATAATGATTCTTACGTAGTTTCTCTTGAAAAAAAAAACTCACAGCCACATCTCTGACACCGTCTTACTTAATAGTGCTCACCAGGTGTTCCAACTGTCACGTTCCCAGTGTAGAAATCATCGTAGTAGTCCATGATCGGTTGCGATCCCTTCTTGAGTATTTGGGAACGACGGAGGTTTCGCTCTTCCAGGTATTTGTGGTAGAGATTGGCCCTCAAGCAGCATTCTTCTAACCATTAGTTTCCGTTATTTCAAGCTTATGAACGTTAGTCGTAATTAATTCTTCGCACATTTCTCAATTTACACAATATCTCAACTATTGCGCTTTGTAGAATGTTCTAATTTACTGACAAATATTCAGGAACTCAGAAGATCGTCTTCGTTTATTGTTTCTCTGCTGTGTTCCAAAATGGCTACGAGTGAAAACCTTCCTACTGATTGATTGAGTTACTATACCACCTTAGCACAACTATCTCTCCAATTCAATAGAAAAGTGATTGTAACTTTCAGTGAAGGCGATGACTATTACACCAGGAAGGTTTGGCGAAAACGCGTTGCCAATTTCAGTTTGAAACTTAGTGCCACAGGGCAACAACGTTTTGGGCTCGAGACCATTCTGTATGAAAAATGACAAATCTGCTTGTAGGTCATACTTGATAAGACGGGCTATTAACGATCCTGTCGAACTAGCCTCCATTTTGTACGTCTTGCTATAGAGGATAGCCACTAGCGTAGCAAGAATGAGAATGGTCTTCATTTCTGAAAGATAGGATCTTCTATCAACAATGTACTTGAAACTTCATGAAACTGTGAAGAAGCGGACGTATTTCTTTTAATTCGTGGGTTTAATTTCTATTTTAACTGTCGGACAAATTTTCTTACTCTTATGAAAATGGGAGTAGCCGAAAACGTTTTAAGAAGGAATAGACATAAACGTAAACGTAAGGAGGAGCCAGGTGTTAGCTTTTATATCGCGTTTGCAGGAAATGTCGTCATCACTAAGATCTTGTGGCGTAGCACCTTTCCGGAGCTCTCACAAAAGAGCTGATAAAATTTTAGTTAGGCGTAAGAGCTGATAACGCATTTCGTTGGAAGGCAGTGCAAGCTGTTTGATTGTAGTTACGGATCCGATAAGAACCGTGAATAATGTTTCTCTCATAGAAGCTTAGGTGACCCATTGTAATAATTACGGTAATATACAGTATAGTTTTCAATTGACTAGTGAATCTCAAAAAGTCAGTGTGGGCGTTTTCGCCTTTGATAAGGATAAATATAATCCTTTCAACGGTTTACTGCCTCATCGGGGCTGGGAGGTGTTCTTGTGTGTCGGACTGCGATGTACAGTGGAGAATTCATTCTCTGGAAGTTCTCCTAAGGTGAGAAGGAGTTTGGCGTTTCCATCAGAAAGAGCCTAGCTAAGAGTAAACCAATACCAGGATCCACCATCTTCATGGTATCAAAGTCGCATGGTGGTAAATCTCTCTCTGATCCACAAGGACTCCAACTGCCCGTGGTGGTGAAGACCTGAGACAGACTTTGGCCTGGCTGACCTGGGGCAGACTTTGGCCAGGCTCACCTCGGGACTCCAGGGAACCATAATGGCTTGACCAGCAACTCTCCGAAAAATGAAGATCATGCTGGGGGTCTCACAGCCAATGAGGACGGACTATTCAAGCATCAAATGTCAGGTAATATGATGGCTTTACCATCTCGTGACTGGTTCATCCTAATATTGGCCTCTTGTCGAAAATGTCGAAGCCTTCTCTCGCTCGTGTAAATCTGATGGGTGGGCATGCTACCCAGAAGCACTACTTTGCGCTGCGAAAAACTAAACCATTGATAGAAAATGGTTTTGTTTATGAGAATAACTAGATACTTGTAAAGATCCGTTAAAAATTGGTTCAAGTAATGATTCATGGTTCACAGTATCGTTATTTCAGGAGGAAATTACTTCGTGATGAAAAACTTAACAACAAACAATTTTTCCAACTGCTTGAGGTCCTCTCTATGAGATTCGATACAAATTGCAAGATATGCTTATAAAAAAACTCAATTTCTCTTTAAGATTGAATTCATCCTCCTCTAAAATTTCTCATCTAACCTGAGATAATCTCGGTTCTCCTCAAACTGCGGTTTACACTGGAGCGTGCGTTTCTCAGTGGCATCTCATCGATTGTGATGGATTTTTGCGACTTCAGAAAAAAAATTTTGTTTGGCTACTATTACATCTTTGTTCTTCATCCTTCATAATCCATAGAGGGTAGCCATAACCCGTCTTGAGGACTCGTGAGCAGGTAAAATAGCAACTCAAATAATTCTTTGTCAAGAGATTCAACAGCATGAGTACAAGATGTTCACACAAAAAAGAACATTTGTTGTTTTAAAAAACGCATTTTTTTAAAATTTACACCTTTTAAGACTTTATAATAAATTTTGTACATGTTCAAGTATGACCCTCTAAGGAGTGGCAATGGAAGTACTTCTTCCAGCTTTCTCTTCGCTACATTTTACGTCGTCATCGAAGTATTGTGTCACGTTAGTTTAGACAGTTTCATACCCTTATAAAAAGAAATTGACCTTCTTTTGATGGTAAGCTAACACGAAATTGACAAAGATGCTAATTCGTCTAACATCTCGACGTCTTCCTCTTTCTCAAGGTCCCGGTGATCTATGTCAATGGTTCACAGTCGTTCGTCTTCTCGACGTGGTGTCTTCAGCTTCGTATGGAGTCGAAGCGCTTCCTCAGTGGAGCACTACTCGAATCATGTAACGTCACTCGGCTTATTCTTTACAGAACAGCAATTGCTGATAAAGATCATCTGTTGATAACAATTTGTTTTCCTGCGACCATTTCACCCAGCAGCAGTCGTCCTTTGAATAAGCTTATATGTACAAGAGGAAAACTATTATAAACCGACTTTCACTTCATTGGTAAGCCAACGTAAAGTTGCTATTAAGCGTTTATTCAACTTATATTTTGACGAAGACACCATATCGAGAAGGAGAACGAAAACGAGCTATCCACTTGGATTATGTTCTGAGGAAGACGAAGACGTCGAAACGTTAGCCGTATAAAAGTTTGGTAACAAACTTGTGTTAGCTTATAAATAATGTAAGGTACATTGATCAATCATACTAAAGTTAAATGAAAGACGGTGCACAACGGAAAAACTAATGAATTTGGAAACATAGAAAACGAGGTTCGAGCGTCGAAGACGAAATGAACAGTGTCTCCGGTGAAGCCTTTGTCTTTCATCCCAGTGATTCCTTTTAATACCGGGGCAATCGTAAATTTCGGGTAACCATTCAAAGTCAAAAAAGGCATTGGATGGTCCACATTCTCGCCTTTCCTTCCTTCCCTCTGTCAACCTGAAATTTATCATCTTTTATAACATGGTGCGTGTGGCACAGTGGTTGGAGGCGCCCTGCAACACACACGTGGAATCGATCCTTGCGCCCATGGTTCACCGAGCCTTCCATCCCTCCGGGGTCGGCAAATTGGTAGCAGACTTCTTTAGGAGGATAGCAGCACTGGCTCGATACATCGATTAGATATGCATTCAATCACCTCCAATGATACTTGGTGAAGTCGAATGCATGGCGCATCCCTCAGGAATCGATCAACGCCGAGAGTCTTATCCTTTTTTAATCCTTTGACAAAGCTTTTTGAAGGGTTTGAGAAATAACTCGTTGTAAGCTAAAAAATAAATTGTTATCAGGCACAAATCTTCCAATGTAGCACCCTGAAGTGGAGTACAATATTTCGACTGGCGCCATTCTCAATCTCAGTCATCCCTTATCACTTTTTCAACGTCAGTCACGATAACAAACCTGCCGACATTCTCTACTGTTTACCATTGCTTGAATATACATACACCTCAGTTCATAACGAACTTTTTTATCAAAACAAACATCGAAGCCTCTCGCTCGTGCCAACCTGATAGGTGGATGTGTCACCCAAAAGCACTGCTTTGCCCTACGAGGAACTAAACCATTGATGGAAAACGGTTTTCTTTGTGGTACCTTAAATAGATACTAGTAAATATTTGTTAATATTCGTAAAGTGGATTAAGCAATGGATAATTGTTCCAATTTGGTATAAGACTCATGAAAATATCCGAACTAGAAAAAACCTTATGCTAATTCACTTACTTCGTAGAGAAAGGATTCATTTAACAGAATAAAGTTGTGCATAAATGAAATTGTTTCACTCTCTAGAGCTATCAAAATTCACCAAATCATAGTAAATGTTAAATAATTGTTACGTAATCGCTTTTGCAGCCCACCGCAAAAAAATTTTTAAATGCTTAATTGTTTAAGCTAATACCACATTATTTGAATACCTTGGTTTGCGAACTTACTTGCTTGATATTTGACACTTGAACAGCCCATCCTCACAGTTTGTGCAGGTCCCAGAATAATCACCATTTTTCGGAGACTTCCTGTCTAAGCCATTGTGGTTTCCTAAAATTCCGAGGTCAGCTTGGCCAAACTCTGGCCCAGGTCTTCACCACAACAGACAGTCACAACCCTTGTGGATCAGAGAGAGATTTGGCACCATGCGACTTTGATATCAAGACGGTGGCGGAACCTGGTATTGGTTTACTCTTGGTTAGGCTACCAGTTAGAAACGCCAAATTCCTTCTCAGCTTGGGAGACCTTGCAGGATGGACGAATTTTTTGTTGTAGATCGCAGTCTGACAACCAGGAACACCTCCCAGCCACGATGAGACGGTAAACCGTTGGGAGGTGTTTCCTGGGTGTTTGCCAACACAGAGAAAATATTGTACTACAGATGTAAATAAGAGTATCTTTCTGAGTGCAATGCATATATATGTGGTCTTTTTCAGACTCTACGGTAAATTTGTAGAGACGTTAGTCATATCTTAATAAGTATTGCATTAACGACGTGTTACCCACTTATAGAGATCTAATGAATAAGTTGCTTGTCAACTACTCCTAAACAAGAATATTTCAGTATTCCGCCGCCATTTACAGTGACAATTTGGTAAAATTAGTTTGATTTAGAATGAAGACCTCACCAACACTCTCAATCTGTAGATATTAGGACGAACTCTATGAAGCGACATTGTCGCACAGCTTCAACTTTTCTACTTCCGCATATCGTAAGCTTTTTTAACATTTCTAGGAGTCTTCTCCTCATTAGTATCAGCATGATTAGCACTGAATATATCCACTCATCATTAAGATCTTTTTATGCACCTTCCGGAATTTTTTCTGCTTGTTCAGTTTTAAAAATACACAGACTTTTTCGATGAGCCCGAATGCTTCGAAATTAGAAGAAGGAAGTGCTGATGTATGCGACAATATATTCGTCATAGTGCGTATGTAGTGGCAAAATGACAGGAGAACTATGAAGGATGAGTTTGATCACCACTAAGGGCTCGTAGCGAGTGGCCTTTTCGAAGCTCTCACAAAAGAGCTGAAAAAATTTTAGTCAGGCGTACGAGTTGATAACGCACTTCGTTGAAAGGCAGTGCAATTTGTTTTATTTTAGTTGCGAATCAGGTAAGAACCGTGAATAATGTTTATCTCATAAACTCTTAGATAACTGTTATCATAATTACAGTAGCATGAACTAGAGTTCCCATTTGACTAATATTTAGTAAATCACGAAAAGTCAGCGAAGGGGTTGTTGCCTTCGAGGAGGATAAATGGGATAGTTTTGCGGTCTTACGACTGGGATCTTTCCATATCGGGAGCGACTTTCGGCGTTAGTTCGTTCTTAGATCGCCTCTTTCGTCGGAAATATCGAACTTTTCTTTCGTGAACACATGTTCAAATTGCTGAGCTTACACGAAGCTCAAAATAATAATACAATATAATCGAAAATACGTCTGTCTAAGCCCGTATCCAATTTTCCTTCAGACCATATGTGCAACAGAGAATTCAGTAAACTTCAAGCCTTTCGACTAATGATTTACGTAGAAATTCTGGACTGTATGCAACTGAACTGCCACAAATTTAATGAAATTCTGTGTGGCCAGCTGTTAACATTCAATTGCCCTATCTAAATCGGGTTTGCTTAATTATCACAGATCTTTTCAGACTGCTCAGACTACACGAGGTTTTTACCAGATTTTATCGGTCTAACGTCTCAGTGTATAAAAGAAGCATAACTCTGATCAACTCGACTCAGATGAAGACGAAGACCTTGAAACGTCTTCCGAATAACATTTCATAATAACCTCGTGTCCACCCAACGGCTTACTGCCTCATCGTAGCTGGGAGGTGTTTCTGGGTATCGGACCGCGATGTTCAGCGGAGCGATTCGTCCCTCAGGCAGGGTCTCGCAAGCTGAGGAGTCCGGGTTTTCATCAGAAAGCCTAGCTAAAAGTAAACCAGTACCAGGATCCACCACCGTTCTGGTATCAAAGTCGCATGGTGACAAATCTCCCTGTGAACCGCGGGGGTTGCGAGTGCCTGTCGTGGTGACAGCCGGAGGCAGAATTTGGTTAGGCTGTGCTTGGGATTCCAGGGAACCACAATGGCTTGACCAGTAAACCTCCGAAAAATGGTGACTATGCTGGGGCCCGCACAGCTAGTGAGGACAGGTCGTTCAAGTATCACGTATCAAGTGAAATAGCATCTGCCATAAAAGATTACACGTGTGGAAACAGTTAGCACATTGGCGACGAAGTGAGTGATATATGACTCACTTTTTTTCGACTGTTTATTTGCAGAATAGAACTTTACTAGTGTACCTTTTGCTTTGATTTATGCGATATCTTATTAAACACGGAATATGTGGTAATGATTCGACAACAGTATCCCTATTCTGTGCTTAGAAATAAGTAATGAAACTTTCCTTTCGTACCAGTGAGTTGATTGGTGTTTCCCGCATGATTAATTTGTGTTAGTGGTGCTCGTATACGTGCAGTTATAAGCATATTTTCGTAAAAACTCGAAAGTGTTGGCTAGATGTCTGTTGAAGTTTTATTGTACAGAAATGTCTTCTATCAGCGTCAATCTCCCTCATATGAGGGATCTCGAGCCGGTTAGTCGCGATGCTACGTGGCGCGTCCCAGGTGGAAGATAAGGTGTTAATCGCAGACCAAAAGCGACCTTTGCTTTTCTGAGACGCAGGCGGATCCAGGGGATGGACTCCTTATTTCTGCTGCGCCGATTTAGTGCGTCCTTTCTGTATTTACGAGGCGTATTCATGCACACGTGCCTGGGTGTGTTCCACTTTATGCGGATTGTATTCTACGAGTTAATTCGTCGAAAAAGAACTGTGGTGACCATCTGTACCTACAATGCACGTACATTTCCATGTCGAGACGACTAACAAGCATGGACCATCGACTCGGATCATCGGCTCTGAGGAAGACGAAGATGTCGAAACGTTAGCCGAAAATAAATATCATTATCAACCTCGTGTAAGCTCACCAATGAAAGAATACATGTAGATGATTGTTTTTTCATCTGCTCCACACAAGAGGAAATGGGCGATTGCTTTGAGTTATTGAACGAACAGTCAGAGTAGATAAAATTTACCCGTGAAAAACGGAAAGGCTTCTATTTCTAAACGTTTAAATCAACCTATCCGAAAACAGCTACAACACAAACTGGTATCGAAAACCAAGCAGTGAGAATACTTTACTGCAGCAGTTCATTACCTCTCCTCTCATCCCTCACAAACTAAAAGGGCGCTTATAGGAAATATGTTTCAAACCGCTGCCAGCGTGTACACAAGTAGAGATTAGAGAGAAAAATCCTCGAAACTAGCGCGCCTAATAGCCATTTCAAGTGGTTACGAAACTGTAGCTTCTCGGCATAGGCATAGAGGAAAAAACGCTCCAGAGAGATAACTTTAGCGAAAACAAGGCTCCGTTCCTCTTGCCCTTTATTTCAAACGAAATAAATGAAGCTATAAAACGTTGCTTAATAAGGACTGGTCTAGAGAATTACGTAGGAGTGATAAAAACACCATCGAACACTCTAGGACACCAGCTACTTCGCAACCGCCCATACGACTGTCTATGTATAACGAAAAACTGCATTACTTGCCCTAACGCTAAAGACGGTGATTGCATGAGTTCGAGTACAGCCTATCTGACCTCTTGTGAACCGTGCGGGGACCCATAAGTTGGCGAAACGGGTAGAGCGCTCTGCGTCCGCATAAAAAACACCTAGTCGGTAAATCTAAATTAGAACAAAATACTCCACTAGGCTCGCATAGGATGCAGGAACACAACGGAGAAGATTTTGTCAGGCTAATCCAATGACCTCACACAGACGCAGTTATCGCCCATGTATTACTCTGTGCGGCTGCTATCCATCAACTAACTCAAATACTTACAACAAATGAACGGTAGGTGTTTAAATGAAGCTGTTTCTTATACGAATACAAACCTATTTGTTAAGTTTTATCTACTGGGGCTATGAAAGTGTTTGGCTGAGTAGATCGCATTTAAATTTAACCTTTCCCGGCTCTGAAAAAGGCGAAACCGCCGAAACGTCAGCTATTTTATCCTACTAAATTCTATGATTACAACCACGTGTCTGTTTATTGAAGAAAACAAAATTTTTTCTTCTCGTTTTATTATGAGCTCTCAATATCCTCTTCTTTTTAGTTTGGGCCCATTATTTTGCATTTACAGCCCATTATTGTTGTTGAGGTAACAGTACGCGATAACAGTGGCCTTTCTCATGTGCCTGGAGTTATCCACTATTGTTACAGTGGTGACGATTGACGCCTCGAGATGGCAATAGATCATATTCTTGGGCAAATCGCTTCATTATCGCTCTTCTCCGTATCGCTTGCGGTCAACGCATTTTTTATCTACATCGTTTATTCAAAAACTAGACAGGAAACCGGTGCCTATAAATACGTGCTCATATTGTTCTCATTCTGCAACATGCTTTTTTCAGCCTTGGAATTGGTCTCAAAACCGGTAAGGATATATCTTTAATTCAAAAGACTAAGTGTCAAAAATAAGAATAAAAAACGCGAACAGAAAACACTCTAATCATTAGGTTCGCATGGATAATCCCGATATGAAAAGAGATGTTAGTGGACTACCTAAAGCGAATAATCCTACCTGGCAGGGTCATCATGCTTAAGCAGTAATTCAAGATAACCATTCAGAAACTAATCTAAGGGTAAGAGCATTCTCAATACGGTTCAACTTCTTAGGAACTCGAAGGAGAATTCATGGCATAACTCGGCAGCAACGAAAATTGTCAGCCAAGTAGATATTTTGCTTCTATANGATTGACGCCTCGAGATGGCAATAGATCATATTCTTGGGCAAATCGCTTCATTATCGCTCTTCTCCGTATCGCTTGCGGTCAACGCATTTTTTATCTACATCGTTTATTCAAAAACTAGACAGGAAACCGGTGCCTATAAATACGTGCTCATATTGTTCTCATTCTGCAACATGCTTTTTTCAGCCTTGGAATTGGTCTCAAAACCGGTAAGGATATATCTTTAATTCAAAAGACTAAGTGTCAAAAATAAGAATAAAAAACGCGAACAGAAAACACTCTAATCATTAGGTTCGCATGGATAATCCCGATATGAAAAGAGATGTTAGTGGACTACCTAAAGCGAATAATCCTACCTGGCAGGGTCATCATGCTTAAGCAGTAATTCAAGATAACCATTCAGAAACTAATCTAAGGGTAAGAGCATTCTCAATACGGTTCAACTTCTTAGGAACTCGAAGGAGAATTCATGGCATAACTCGGCAGCAACGAAAATTGTCAGCCAAGTAGATATTTTGCTTCTATACGTTTAAATTTTCGTAAGAATTAATCATTTAAATATCAACTAAAGTGGATGTAGGTTTTGAGGTTTTTGTCAGTTCAAGGACAATGCGCATTTCGAAATTCTTTTATTTTTCGAAACTTAAAAATTGATAAGAACAATAATACGCGTACATGACTCACATATGACTCACAATGTCACTTGCCAACTGGATTTTCGAAGACTAAGAAGGTAATGCTTAACTATGTATTTGCTGTCGTTCACTTTTTCATGAAAGGGTATTCCGTTGAATAAAAACGCGACGACGTGAGATATTTGCAAAACTAGGACCTCATGCCAGATTCGAACCATGCCATGGAGGATTATTAGGCAGCGAATGAAAAGTTAAGCATTGTAATTTCGAGTGCAGCTTCAGCTTAATTGGGTTTCGTGCAAATTTGCGATTCTGAGATCAATCGTACTGACGGGTGATAGATGACGAAACCATTAGAGCAAAAAGAAACAGGTTGAGGGAAAGCCAAGGCAAAGCAAGGACCTCCGTGATGCGATGGTTAAGATGTGAGTCCATGGATAGAGCGATCGTGAGTTTTAACCTGAAATAGGGTTTAAGAGTTCTGCAATCAAGAGGAAAAATTAGAGAAGATGGCTCACTGAGGAAGACCTGGCTCGACACGAAGGCGAAGCTGCAACGTCGAGACGAACAACTATCATGGACCATCGAATCGGATCATCGGCTCTGAGGAAGACGAAGACGTCGAAACGTTAGCCGAAAGTAAGTATATTTATCAACCTCGTGCAAGCTTATCAAGAAAGAATACATATAGAAAGTTAGAGTCAATCCTTCTTTGGTCGTTTAATATGTTGCTGGTTCTAGTCGAAGATGATCCCTGTCCAAAGCGCAGGTGTTTTTTTAAATTTTTGGGCTCACTCATATTTTTGGTCACTGGTTTTTTGTTTCACGTGCTAGACTTTTCTTCACGCTATCTAATTAGAAGAGATTGCTGTGTCTCAAAATAACCTTAGCTTTATAGTGTTTATACATAAAATATTTTACTCTCTCATCGTAATGCTGCCGCTTTTTTTCGGTATAGACCTGCGAAGTACAGAGAGAGAGTTTAATATTTGCAGTTCCACTTTTGCTGAAATCGAAAATGCCATCCAGAAGCTCGGCTGTGTGTAAACCAAATATGGATAAACTATCTGTGGCTGTTTTTCACCAGTGTTGGGAGAAGTAAAAGATCTCATGCCAAAATCGTAGCACAAACCAAGCTTCCCATCTGTATGCACTCGACGAATTAGTACTAGAGATATTTTAGAAGCGCTCCAACTAAGGTGTAAGTGCTGTCCACTGCCAATGATGAAGGCTCTCGAACGGTGTTCTAGTTTGGTCTATCTGCAAAACCGGTTTTGGTCATCTATCTGCAAAACCGACGTTGGTTATCGCATAAATTCACGTGTTATTATCATCTATACCTGTCACATGACAGACGTCCTCAATGGTTGGCTCTCGAAAGAACGCAGATTTTAACCCTATCCTTTTACCCAGGATTTTTCCTAAGTCCAACGATAAGATCACTCCACTTTTTTTATAAGTATTCTTTCCGAAAAATTTTAAGGGTTAGAATGTCTAATGTGAAAATAACAATTTCGACAAATCTACCCTTGTGAATTCGTATTGGGTCACACGCAACGTAAACCGTCCGAATCATCAATGAGGTATATGGCCAAGCGCGGTGAAACGTTAAAGTCGCCCTGCAATGTACATGTGTTCAATTCGACGCTCGAAGCTGTGGAAGCCTTCCAGCCCCACTGGGTCGGCAAATTGGTACCAGAGTTGTCTGGAAGGATAGCAGCACTAGCTCGATTTGTCGATAGGCCACCGCGAGTCATTGTAAAGGCCAGATATGCATTCAGTCACCTCCAAATGGTGATTATTATGTTAGAATGCATGGTGCATCCCGCAGAGATCGATAAATGCCGAGAGCTTCATTCTTTTTTCTGTTATTCGAAACAGTGGCCACTAGCCTTGAGTCTCAAAAGGTGACATTGAGATGAAGCTGAATCGAATTTTTTTCGCATGTGTGTTAAAAGAAACAAGAAGATTGTGAGATGTCACGGCGGGGAAGGGAATAATAACGGATGAGAAGAAACCAAACGGTGTCATTAGGTGAATTCTAACTGATATTGGCTTCTTAGAAACACATGATTAGGCGTCCAGTTAAGAATCACTATAGTTTGGACCTGAAGGCAAAGTGTAAAAATTTTACCTAGCAATAAATGATTTGGAAAAACAATACTTAAATATTTTTCCCATACGACTCAAAAACATGGAAGATTGGAATTTGCATTGGAAGCAATCATACACTTGCTCCATTTGCAATGTGTATTACGATATTTATATTTCGTGAGATATTATGTGAGCAGAGCTCGCATGTAGCAGTTAGTGAGGTCTTACAGTATATACGGGTTATTGGGAAACTGGGTGGATTCTCTGGAAGGACTAAAAGATCGACCAGAGACATCTATAGGCCTCATAAACTCTTTATGTTGATCAAATATGTATTCATTCAAGTTTAAGGCAATTAGATGAGTCGATTGCATTGTAGTACATTGCCTAGAGACTAGTGAACAGACGAGTGTTTACGCTTTTCATTATGTGTTCACTTGGTGATTAAAAGACAGAAAAGTGCATTACAGGCGGATTCGGATCGTCTTCAACGAGCAATGACTCAATTCATTTGGGAGAACTTCAAAGGAGATCTATGATTAATTCCTCTGGATGTATAGCTTCACTAGCACGAGGATGTGCCAGGCACGGGATCCTAAAACACCAACGCGCAAACTCCTCGAGGCTTTTTGGATAAATGTCAAAAATCCTACAATGAATAGCAGGGAGAAATGTTCCGAGATCACACGTGGTCTCGCCCTTTACCTTCGCATCGGTCGTTGATGTGGGGTGGAGCAGTCGTCAACGATATGCGACTCTGAGCGGCAGTCCTTCTTCGCTGGAAGACAGGTGAAAAAAGCGGTGGGTTTTTCGAGAAGCCGGTGATCGTGTAATTATTCTTCAGAGTTTCATCTTTCTCTTTGTGCTGTTGAAGCGCTTGACCTAGTAAGTTTCATATTAGTGTACCCTTTCAGGCTCTGAAGAAGGCGATTCTGCCGAAACGTCAGCTACGATTGTGTTGTATGTGTATTTTTGTATGGAAGTAAACGTATGTTGTTTAAAAACCTCGTGATTGTAGAGAAAGAAAACGACAAAATTACACTACAATCCTAAAGATGGGTCATCCAGGTATCCAAGTAAGCGGGTTTATTTGTCTGATCCAAATAAAGATCTAGTAACTCAAGTTCAGTTTGCGGCAATCAACAGTTGCTGCCTTTCATATTACAAGAAGACGAGAATTTTGTTTGAATTAACTAAGAAAAGTAAGTTGATTCCGCAACGTGAATCGACGTGACGAGCGAACAGAATAGAATGGAATAGACGTGTTCCGCTGAGCTGACCAACAAATACATAGCTTCTCAGTAATCTCTCACTCTGTTCGGTCCATTTCACCCTATTCATGTACACATGAAGGACTTTAGGTAGAATCGTGAACTCAATGCTGACGTTGGACGCACATCAGCTAGAAAA